GGTGAGTTAACTGATACTCTCTTTCCTAAGTGTGGCATTCGGCAAGGGGACCCCTTTCCCCCTATCTCTTTGTTTTGTGTATGGAGAAGCTTTCGCATAGTATTCAGCAGTCTGTGGAGGACAAGGCTTGGAAGCCTATGCAGATCTGCCAAAGTGGCCTTTTTATCTCTCATCTCTTTTTTGCTGATGATTTGATTCTCTTTGGGAAAGCTTCAGTCAATCAGGCTATTGTTATGAAGAATTGTTTAGATGGTTTTTATCAGCTCTCTGGTTAGAAGGTGAGTTTTGAGAAATCTATGATCTATGTTTCTCCAAATACTTCTTCTGAGTTGGCTCATTCTATTGCAACTATATGTGGTTCCCCTCTCACCACTTGTCTTGGTAAGTATCTTGGTGTTCCTCTTATTCATACACGAGTCACTAAAGCTACGTATCAAGAGATTATTGATAAAGTCCAAAGGAGGTTATCTTCTTGGAAAAGCCATACTCTCTCTATGGCTGGTCGTTTGATCCTTTTGCAGTCTGTCACTTCTGCTATCCCTATTTATTCCATGCAATCTGCTAAATTGCCTGGTTCTGTCTGTCAGAAACTTGATCAGTTAAATAGAAATTTTTTATGGGGGCATACTACTGATCAAGCGAAGGTTCACTTGGTTAATTAGGACACTGCTTGTAAGCCTAAATTTGCTGGTGGTTTGGGTATTAAGAATTCTGCTTGGATGAATCAAGCTCTTCTTGCTAAAACTGGTTGGCGATTACTGCAACGTGAGCAAGGTCTTTGGGCTCAAGTGTTTAATGCTAAGTATTTAAGGCATTGCGATATCCTTGCTGCTAAAGATCTTCAGTTCCAGAGTAGCTCCAATGTTTGGAGGGGTATTTTATATGGTGCTCAAGTTCTCTCTGTAGGTATTAAATGGCGTGTAGGGTCTGGGGATGATATCTTGTTCTGGACTGATAGATGGCTTAGTTGTGGCCCTTTGCAGCAATTTGCTCTAATTGATTTATCTGAGGACATGCTTCAATTAAATGTTAGTGACTTTTTGGAGGATGGGGTTTGGGATTTCAATTGCTTAGTGGAATGCCTGCCTATGAATACTGTCAACTTGATTCTTAGTACTCATGCTGGCTACAATGGTAGTGGGGAGGATAAATGCATCTGGCAATCCACCTCTAATGGCCAATTTTCTGTAAAAACTGCTTATAGTACCTTTTATCTGGATGAGGGTAATGCTAATTGGAAATGGGATTTTATTTGGAAGCTTCATCTTCTGCCGAAGGTTAAGACCTTCCTCTGGGTTCTATGTCATAAAAAGTTACTTACGAACGCTCAAAGATTGAAGAGAAAGCTCACTAATGTTGTTGTTTGTCCTAGATGTGATTGTCCTTTGGAATCTTGTGCGCATCTCTTTAAGGATTGTACTGCCACTCTTGCTATTTGGAATAGACTTGGGTTTGGGGGAGTGGAATCTGGTCAGTTGATGGATGATTATGACTACTGGCTTTTGGAAAACTTGAAATCGAAGAGGTTTGTTATCCATGGCCTGCCCTGGTATTTGGTTTTTGCTATCTTTCTTTGGTTTATTTGGAAATGGAGATGTAAAGTGGTCTTTGATCAGAATTTTCTTTTACCTGCTGAACCTCATCTGTTGATTTATCAATTTGCTTTGGAGTGGTTTTCAGCTTGTAATCCAAAGGCTTTCCTCCCTGAGCGTAGTGTTGTTCATCTCCATTGGATGGCCCCTCTTCCTGGTGTTTGTAAAATCAACACTGATGGTAGTAGAATCAATTCCTCTGGTCTTATTGGGGCTGGGGGTCTGTTAAGAGATTCTTGTGGGAATTGGATCAAGGGTTTCTCTGTGAATCTAGGTTATGGTTCCATCATTGAGGTTGAGTTATGGGGGCTTTTTTGGGGGCTTAATATGGCTTGGGATGCTGGTTTTCGCATGGTGGAGATTGAGTGTGATGCTTCTTTTGCTGTGGCTTTGTTAGAAAGTCCTACTGTGTCAACACACCCTCTCTTTAGTATTATCAGTTGTTGCAAAATGAAGATTCATGAGGATTGGTGCTGCTCTGTGAAGCATATTTTTTGTGAACAAAACTGTGTTGCAGATGCTTTGGCTGCGAAGAGTTATGATTTTGGTCTGGGCCTCCATGTGTTTGAGGAGGCTCCGGCCTTTCTTAGTCCCATGTTAGGTGATGATGTTCGTGGTCTTGCTACACCTCGTCTAGTTTCAGTTTAGTTTCTTTTGGTCTGGGGCTCTAGCCCCCCTCTGTACCAAAAAAAAAAAACACACCCAAAGCCTATTTACAACATAACAAAGAGGTTTTTAACTTCTTATATATATTATAAAAGTGCCATCAATTTCTTAAAACAAGCCCAACACCAAAATCTTATAAAAATACCCAAAAAACTCAATAGGGCATTGAAGTAATTTAATAATCAAAATTAAATTCAATAGGGCACGTTGTCATTTTTTGGTTTTTTTTGGGTTTGTTTATAAAAATTAAATGGTGTAAGGTTTATCTATATTAGTTCTTAGAATGGGTATATGACTAAATATCTATATATTTTTTTTATTTCCACCTATTGTCATGGCAACCCAAGGGCAATTACTACTCACATGGGATTAATTTTATTTTTATGTATAAGATTAATAATAATAAAAAATTGCTAGGTATGTATAAAAAAAGATTTTGAATTTTTTGGTAATTTTTCATTTTTATTTTTTATTTTTTTTTAAAAAATTTATTTGTTGACATCATCGCCCTCATGCAACAGCTCGGGCTGTTCTTGCCTTCAAGCCTGCCCAATCTTTGTGGAGCCCACCATCTGCCCAGGCTGGATTTGTGCAATGGAATGGGTTTCTTCAACCTGGGAGGGCCTTTTGCCCATACTGAACTCTGAGGTGGAAGTGCCCTAAGTGGGAGGTTTTTCTTTACTAGGTAGTATTCAGTTGAAAGGCTTTCCAATGTTGGCTTAGTTTTTCCCCTCTTCTATAAGTTTCGTGCCTTTTGTTTTTGGCTTGGAATAAAGTTCAATGTTGACCAAAAAACAATTCAACAAGCCAAAAGCCAATTCACCATGCCCTAAATTTTTGGGCCTAAGTCGAGCCTTGTTAAGGTTTTTTTTTTTTTTTCCGGGCTGGGCAGAAGTTTGAAAGGGATCAGCTCAAGTCCGCCTATTTGGTCAGGCCTAAGTGGACTTTTCAGGGCGGGCCGACCATTTCCTTTTTTTTTTTTGCTTGCTAAACTGTCATCTTGCCCCCTTAACTATGTCATAATTGTCAATTTGACCCCCAATATAATTTTTTAGTAAATTAAGGATACAAACTATATAAAAATAGCCAATCTCCCCTTACCATCAATTTTTCCACTTTCCATCCATAATAAGGGCAAATTCGTAATTTTAAGGAAAATTTAAATTATATACTGTTAATATATTAAATAATTATCTTTAAAAATTAAAAATTAGAAAAAGAGAAAATCAAAAAACACCCCCTCATTGGTAGGGCTCGTCAATGGGCCGGGCCGGGCTAGCTCGGCCCAAATTTAATGGGCTTGGATGTGGCCAGGCCAGGCTTTAAAGAAGAGAGAGAAAATATCGGGCCAGACCGGGCCGGGGTTTTTTAGAAAA